CGCGGCACGGGGTTCGAACAAGCCGGCTTTTAAAAATGGCGGAGCCGGCTTTATGCTAATGAAGCCCGGGAAATTCAAATCCCGGGCTTCATTAGCAAGCTGGGTATGTCTACACTACCCTCCTAGTTCGAACTAGGAGGGTAGTGTAGACATACCCCTAGATTGTTTGTCTCCATAGCAAATCACAATAAAGGTCAAGCCATCTCAGCTCAGCGACTCTCCCACTGGATTTCAGACTGTATAAGACTTTGCTACTCCTTATCAGGTGTTAATCCTCCTGACTGAATAAGAGCACACTCCTGGGTATGTCTACACTACCCTCCTAGTTCGAACTAGGAGGGTAGTGTAGACATACCCCTAGATTGTTTGTCTCCATAGCAAATCACAATAAAGGTCAAGCCATCTCAGCTCAGCGACTCTCCCACTGGATTTCAGACTGTATAAGACTTTGCTACTCCTTATCAGGTGTTAATCCTCCTGACTGAATAAGAGCACACTCAACTAGAGCCATGTCTACCTCTGTAGCATTTCTACAAAAGGTCCCTATAGCAGACATTTGTACAGCTGCTACCTGGTCATCAGAACACACATTTGCAAAGCACTATGCACTTATTCAAGGACCTTTCTCTAGCCTCAAATTATCTAAGGCTGTTCTATCTACTGCATTCATGCCAGATCCAAAGTCCCTACCTCCTTAAAGAGATACAGCTTTGAAGTCACCTGATGTGGATCACCCACAGGGATATCTCTATCTCGAAGAGGAGGTTACTCACCTATGCAGTTACTGATGTTCTTCAAAATAAGTGCCCTGTGGGTGCTCCACTACCCTCCCTCCTCCCCTCTACTTTATAATTCTGTCCTTCTTTAGGCTATATGATTCCAGGGTAGAGAAGGAACTGAGGGGTGTGAGGGCTCGCATATGCATAGTGCCTGCACACTAGGGCTGTGTCTAGACTGGCATGATTTTGCAGAAATACTTTTAATGGAAAAGTTTTTCCGTTAAAAGTATTTCCGCAAAAGCACGTCTAGATTGGCACGGATGCTTTTGTGCAAAAAGTGCTTTTGCACAAAAGCATCCGTGGCCAGTCTAGATGCGATTCGCGCAAGAAAGCCCCGATCGCCGTTTTAGCCATTGGGGCTTTTTTGCACAAAACAGTTCTTCCCTGTCTACACTGGCCCTCTTGCGCAAGAATACTTGCGCAAGAGGGCTTTTTCCTGAGCGGGAGTGTGAAAGTATTTGCGCATGAAGCACTGATTTTGTACATTACAAAGTCAATGCTCTTGCGCAAATTCAAGTGGCCAGTGTAGACAGCTGTCAAGTTTTTGTGCAAAAGCGACTGTTTTTTCACAAAATCTTGCCAGTCTAGACGCATCCTAATAGCATGTGGCTACAGGCATGCATATACATGGCCCCAGAGTCACAGCACTGAAGACTCCAGATTGCAGGCTCGGCAGTGGTGCACCAACCTGATATGAAGCACCCACTGGGATAATCATCTCTAAGAATGTCAGTTACTGCACAGGTGAATAAACTCTTTCTGGCTGATGGTTCATGTAAGCCATGTCCCTTATTGCTGTCCTAGAGCTATATACCTGGTCCGGTGGCACCTCAAGTGTAAAGGATCCTTGCTGATTTGCATGGGGTGCTGAGACTGCTCTTAAGAAGAAAAAGATGATTAGGTTCAGATGATTGATTAGAGTATGCTTGGTTTTTCATTTATTATGTAGCCAGGTATTCTGAAGGCTTCTCGTCTGAGGTTTCCTGTGAGAGTTATATTCATATTTCATTTTAAAAGCATAGTTTAAAAATAATGTATTTTTTTCACAAAATAGATTGAGCTTCTGTCTCAGGCGCTTCAACACATCCAGGCATGCAGGGAGATCTGGAATGCTCTGAAGCTAACAGGCAAGCTAGAAATTCTATAACCAAATGCTGTTGATTATGTAGAATCACGATACCTAGAACAAGTATTTCCAAGACTCATTGCTTCGAAGATGATGATCTGGGAATCAGAGAACTGTTCTTTTCAATTCAAAAGTCTTGACACACCTGTATTACAAAATAATTTGATGTAAGAATTGGAGAGGCTGGCAACACAATGCTTTTTCTGTACCCTTGTTGGCTTTCTCATTGTCTAGATGCTGTCTGATTCAGCATGTTTGGAACTAAAGATTTCAGATTAATTTTATGGGCTTGCTAACGGTGGTAGACCAGTCTGTACAAAAATACCCAGGTTCTTTAAAAAAAGTTTACTTGGCCAAACCTGCTTCATTGCACTTGCAGTTTAACAGGAGAAAAAATGCCTGGATTTCCCAGTTTAAGTAAAGTAGCACATTAGGACTCAACTGCAGGGATTCGGTACTATACTAAAAGCAACAGAACTGATGCCTTTTCTTCTCTTGAGCTCCAGAAGTAAGAACTTTCAAGGGTTGCTGTGTTGTTTTCCTTTAGACAACCAGAAGATAATAGAATCAGGCCCGTAAAGCAGGGAGGGGTGCAAAGGGTTCGAATGCACCCCCCATGTTCCCCCCAAGTAACCATGCTCTGGCCAGCTGGGGAAAGGCAGGGGTGGCGCGCTGCCTGAGTCTCCCTCCCCCATGCTCCAGCCAGCTGCGGCAGGGCTGGGCCTCACTCTTGCAGAGAGAGGGGCGGAAATCAGCCCTGTCTTTCCCCAGCTGTCCAGAGCACACTTACTTGGGGAACCATGGTGGGGTGAAGTCCACGTTTAAAAATAGGGGCCTGAGAATAAGGATAAGCTGTAAGTGTAAAGTTTCTCTCGCCATTGAGGGCTCATTATGGTGATGCTCAAAATAGTTATGTTGCAAAGTGAGACAAATAAGATTATAAACAGATGTATACCTCAGTATATAGCATTCTTAGGGTTGAGAAGGAATCCCTCTTCTCCCCAGCTCTTAGCTGACCTAAACCTGGATTCCTCTAAGTAGGTAGGAGTAGATTCATATGATACAGCCGTACTTCTTTATTACCAGTCAGTAACAACATAGTTTGTGATATGCCTGATTTCAGTTAGTCTGAGGGCACGTCTTCCCTCGCCGTGCTAGAGATCAACATTCTGGCGTTTGATTTAGCAGGTCTAGTATAGAACTGTAAATCGAATGCTGAGGGCAGCTCCGGCTGGCATCTGTACTCCTTATCGTCTCTAGGAGTAAGGGAAGCTGATGGGAGTGTTTGCTCCCATCAGCTTCCTGCAGTGGGGACAGCGCCAAGCTCGGCTTAAGGTAAGCCGACTCCAGCTACATATTCTACATAGCTGGAGTTATATATCGTAAGTCCACCTTCCAGGTCAAGTGTAGACCTGACCTGAGTAATTTGAGTCACTCTCAATTTTCTGTCTGTACCTACATAGCGGCAAGTCTTCCTAGATTTTCCTTTCTTATAAGTCACTTTGCACAGGCAGTGCAAAATGTGCAGGTTGTATTAATGTGCAGTTAATTAACCCCATTAGCACCAGCAGGATAGGGTGAAACTCACATGACAAAACAGTACCCAGTTGTCTTTATAGGGTATCATGAAATGATTCAGCCTGTAGTTTGTGCAACACTTGAGAAATTAACAGCTCAGGATAGCACATATATAGGCCAGGTCTACACTAGACCTGGAAGATTGGGTTAAGATACACAACTCCAGCTACGTAAAATACATAGCTAGAGTCAGTTTACCTTAAGTTGAGCTTGGCACTGCTTCACAGAGGGAGGCCAAAGGGAGCAAATGCTCCCGTCAGCTTCCCTTACTCCTAACAACTGCCAGGAGTGCTGGCGCCAGTTGGAGCTATCCTCAGCGTTGATTTAGTGGGTCTTATATCTTCTCAGTCAAACAACAGAAGATCGATCTCTGGCACAACAAGAGAAGACCTGGTCATAGTTGTCAGCAAGAGTTACATATTTGCCATACCGAGTGTGTGAAACTGGACATGGGCAACTTTTGTTGAGATGCTGGTGATAATAGCAGTAAATCTGTTATAGTGGGTCCACATTTGGCAAAGCGACTATGGCGATACATTTGTCCAATTATGTTGACTGCCTGTTTTTCAAGTAAAAGTGAAAATACAAATCCAGATGACTGTAGTGAGTTGTAATTATGTTGCACGTGGCAGTATCAGCAAAGAGGAGAAATTACTGTGCAATAATTTCTAAGGTGACATAGAAGAACAAATTACACATTTTTCAACATATGTTCTCTTTATTTTTAAAATGTCTTTTTTGTGAAAGCATCTAATTTTCACACGGTATGAAATAGGCAAATATTCCTCTTAGCCCACAGAGATCTTTGATGAAATTATATATGGGAATTTCTTTTTGCATCCCTTGATGGCAATGGGGTGTAAGATTTGCTCTTATGTTTGTGCTGACTATTTTGTTAGGGTACATCTACACAGCAGTGTTATTTCGGAATAACTGACGCTATTCTGAAATTCAAAAGAATGTGTCTACACTACAGGCCTTTATTTCGAAATAATATCAAGCTGGAGGACTTCTTACTCCAACTCATGGCAACCCTTATTTCATGAAGAGTAAGGGAAGTCAAAGAAAGAGCATTCTCCTTTCGACTGCCTGCAGTGTAGACAATGCCAAAAGTTAAGGTACTTGATTTCAGCTAAGCAATTGATATAGCTGAAGTTGCGTAGCTTAATTCGACATTAGGCCTGCTGTGTAGACATGCCCTGAATGTTCCGAGTGGCCCAATTCTCAGCTATAGTTTCAAATGTAATCTACACCAAGGTAGAGATGTAAGCAATTAGTTGACTATCCCATAAGCAAATGCCAGGCCGGATCTGGCAGCTTGGCAGACCAGATGCAGCCCACGGACTATATTTTGCCCAGCCCTGGTTTAAGGATTTTCCTGCAACCAAGGGTAAAACTGCATCTTACAGCTTCATTTCATAAACTGACCGTAACAGATTGACTAATAACAGGCACTAATTTGTCTCCTCTGCAGGAGATTTCTCCAGAGACCCAACTGACACACTGCTGTTGCTTTATGAATTTGAGGCGAGAGCCAAACTCAGTGATCCAGAAGTGGACAACCTATTGGAGTCGGTGTGGGAACTTCCGCAAATAGATACTAAGACGTTGGAAACCATTGCTGGTAAGGGCCCTATTTACATTTCCAGTTCTTAAGGTTATGTAAAGAAAGTTGGCCATTACTGCATCTTATGATAGTCTTTCACTTTCATTTGGAGTGGATAGGAGTATGCTCTTATGCTCTACAGCAATGAAAATCTATGCAAAACCCAAACATGCTTTGTCAACTGGGGGAGATGTTTGTGATCCTGGTAGTACCCAGAGATGTCCATAGTTTGTAGGTAAGCCAGTGCCTTACCGATTTCCTCCATCTAAAAAATCCAGAACTTTTCATAGAGTTTAAGGCCAGAAGGATCCATTATGATTGTCTAGTTCAGTGGTACTCACACTGAGGTTCGGGAGCCACATAATGTATTTCCTGTGGATTTTGCAGCACATGATATTAAAACACTGTGTGTGATGTAATTGTAAACTAATCTAAGTCATGAACCAATCAGGATGCTTTTACTTGATTAGACACACAGACATGCACTAAATTAAGCAGTAAATTCTTAATATTGTGGCTGTTACGCATGGTATTGATCATTAATATGGCTCCCAAATGACTGAGATCAGAGTATCACTAGTCTAGTCTGACCTTCTGCCTGACACAGGGCAGACAGGGTTTGCTAGTGGTTCCTGCGTCCAGTCCAGTAACTTCTGGTTGAGCTAGAGCAAATCCTTCAGAAAATATCCGGGCTTGTTTTAAAAACCAAAGATAGTGGAGAAGCATGTAGCTGGCACTTTCTGTACTGCTGTAGTATCATCACAAAGCTTTAGCCATGTCTTCTGGAACTTGAGAATTTAGAATGGACTTGGAGGAAGGTGACAGGGAGTCTTGGAGCCAAAATGATAGATTGTTTACATTTCACTTATTTTGAAGCTATTAGCATCAGGGAATGACACCTTGATTCTGCATTTCTGTTTTATTTTAAATCAGCCATGGCATTGCTAGGAAATGTGAAACAAACCCAAACAGCCATTGTTCCTGTAGGACACTTCTGTTTTGTGTTACCTCATTAGATGTAACCAGCTGATAAAGGGGGCTCTCATTAACTACAAAACCTATTTTCTTAAGCACTGCAGCAGTCATTTAGGATTTAATGACAATAAAGAAATAAAGCTATGCTGTATGGGTGTCTGGTATAAGAGGCAAGGAGAGGCAATGCCTTCCTTGAGTCTTAGTGCTCAACCTCTCCCCTCTTCTTATCACTATTCTCATGGTTCCTGAAGGCTTCTGCAGCAGGCTGTTGCAGGCTGGCGAGTCTCCCCTGAAATGGATCTATTAATTTAAAAGTGAAAGCCTTCCAACTTGCCAGAACCATTATCATAACATTGAACCTGTGAAAGAGCCATTAAGTGGTAATGAAACAGTTTTAACAGGCATGTGCCAACACTAAGGATGTTAGGGTATGTCTACACTAGCCCCCTAGTTCGAACTAGGGAGGCTAATGTAGGCATTCGAACTTGCAAATGAAGCCCGTGATTTAAATAACCTAGGCTTTATTTGCATGTTCCTGTCCGGTCACCATTTTGAAATGCGGACTAACTGCCCGCGGCTATACGTGGCAGTTTAACGGTAATTTGAACTAAGTCGTTAGTTCAAATTACCTGTTACTCCTCCTGGAATGAGGTGTAACAGGTAATTCGAACTAAGGACTTAGTTCCAATTACTGTTTAACTGCCGCATGTAGCCACGGGCAGTTAGTCTGGACTAGTGGCATTTCAAAATGGTGACCGGACGGGAAGATGTATATAAAGCCCGGGATTCATTTGCAAGTTCGAATGCCTACATTTGCAAGTTCGAACTAGGGGGCTAGTGTAGACATACCCTTAAGGATTAGTCAGCTAGTTGTTCCCCCCTCTACCTCCTTGCTGCCTCTATCAGATAGAGGCAGCAAAGGGGGATGGGGGGAAGAGGGGATATTTCATAGGGGCAGCGCCACACAGATGAACCATGGTGTTTTAAAGGGGCAGTGCTGCATGGAGCCCAGGGATCAGCTCCGTGCTGAACTGCTTTGAAACACCGAGGCGGCGTTTCAAAGAGGCAGCTCTACATGGCTGAGCCCAGGATCAGCTGTGTAGCGCTGCCTCTTTGAAATGCCATTGCTGCGTTCGCATGGAGCCTGGGGTCAGCTGGGGACTCCCCAGCTCACCCAGGCTCCGTGAGGCATTTCAAAGTGGCAGCACAGCATGGAGCCCGGGGTCTGTGGGGAACGCTGAGTCCTCCACTGACCCCAGGCTCCATGAGGGTGTTTCCACTTTGAAATGCACAAGAGCCCTTGCTGGGGACTATTGTATATTTCAAAGCTGGCCCACATGCAACCCAGAGTCCCACTGGACTTCCCACTGGCCCTGGGGTGCATGAGGAGTTCCACATTCTTCCTTTGAAATGTACAAGAGCCCCAGCAGAAGGTATGCGAAAGTGCTATCAACTAGTTGAGTAGCTGATGAAAATTCCATCGACTACTCGACAAGTACATTACACAATATTTAATATCCTTAGCCAACACTGCTGAAAACAGTTGTGCATTAGTTTGTCTACAGGACTTTAGTTTAAATATTTCATTAGTTTTTTGCTGAAGATTTTAAAATCACATTTCTTAAAAATCCTTGCATAGATTTTTAGGTGCACAATCTGCATATTCAGCCTTAGCCTTAAATGCTTGGATCTTCAGACAGACAGTTTTTAAAATAAATTCTTCAAAAGGACCACTCTTATCTAAAATACATATTTTAATTTTAATTACTATAGTACAAAATCTTGCTTCCAACATTGTCCTGTCCTTTCTGTCCATCCCTACTCTCCTTTTCACTCCCTTGTTGAAGGGAGCCCTTAAGGGACAACATTCCTTTTCTTCCAGATACCTGGATCGAACGAGTTTTCATTCTTTATTTCTCACTATGGGTACGTCTACACTACATGCCTCTGTTGGCAGTGGCATGTAGATTTGTTTGTTCTGCAAAGGTAAATGAAGCCGCAATTTAAATGATCGTGGCTTCATTTACATTTACATGGCTGCCGCGCTGAGCCGACAAACAGCTGATCAGCTGTTTGTCCGCTCAGCGCGCTAG